TCTTGAGTTCCTATTCTCTCTTTCTTTTATCGATTCTTATGCACTCTTGTGAATTTTTGATGATTGCCTGAATATGAGTAGCTAAGAACCCTATTGTTCTAGGGTCATGGGTATACATGAATATTGATATTTGAAGTTTAATTTGACGAAGTTGATTTTATCATATTGGGTTGTTTATTTAATTCTGTTTTTAATTATTTTGCTGAGTAGCTAACAGTGAAATACTATCTACGAATCTAGAGTTGAACTCGAAAGTGGGAACTCTAGATTGCATATAGAATTAAATAGAGCAAGTTCTTAAACCCGGGCATCGGGGAAAGGATTCGCAAATGGGATAGACATATACCTAATTGCCTTGCTCGGTTGCAATACAGGAATTGTAAATGCGTTCTTGTTAAATTTAATTCCATAGACATATAGGTATTAAGTTAGCTTGAATAGGCGAGTAAGGGCTCGACAGATTCTTATGAGTAATATCAACCCTGTGAACCAACAATCCAGATAAATCAATTAGTTATTTTAAGCTAAGAATGCAACATGATTGTTAAATAACCCGTGACCCTGGAATATTATCTCCCATTGATTGTTATTTAAAACTATTTAAGTGTTGTGTTGATTTCTGGTATTCTATTACTTGATAGTCTTTAGGTAGTAAATTAGACAATTATCTATTTTATAAGAAATCGCTTGAATCGATAAGCTATTTGAGTTTAAATTAGTCAAAAGTTAATCATAAGTCCTCGTGGGAACGATACTCTATTCACTACTCTATTACTTGACGACCACGTATACTTGCGTGAGTGTGTTTGGTCCCGACAACCTCCCTTCCACATAGGTATAATTCACATCCGCGACTTGAAGCTCTATTATAATACTTGCACCTTTAGTGCATACACACTCCGGTGGGAGCTTCATATTGACTTCTTATGAGGCTGGTACTCTTCTAACTGACTTTATCGTAGACCATTATAGAATATGACTACTATACTTTGTCTCTTGTACCTCTGATATTAAGAACGATCCTAGAATATTCTCAATAACGATTTCTATAATTTTCTGGGTCCAATAATCAGACTCCTGATTTACTTCGTTGTTTTAACTCTTTAGTTTCCTCTTCCTTCTGTTCAGCCTTTATGTAGGCTTAAGCTATCTTCTGATCTATGGCTCACGGTATTAGTTATTACTTTAGCCTTTCATGGGCGTTATGGAATATCCATGATACAATCTTCTGATAATTTAATCCTTTGTCTATTCCCTAGGCTCAATTCTTTCTTTTAACTTATACCGGGTGAGATTTACTTTATATTAGCAGTTTTTATTGTATTGAGACCTCAGGTTTATGCTATTTCTATGAATTTCGTTACTATGTTGCCTTCGTTATCATGTTTCAGCTTGCCTAGTCGGTGTGTTAGGCGCCATCACGACGGATTGGGATTTTGGATCGTGATAACTTGATACCTTGTTTGGTTACAAAAATGAGAAAAAATAATCTCCACATAGAATCTAGCTAGTATAGGTTATATAATATTAGGTTAGATTTTTTCTCTTTTCCACATAAAACGTAGCGCATTGCTAGTACAATGTTTGCTCTGTGTTTTTCTTTTCCGCATAACTAATATACATATAAGTTATGAGAAAATCTATGTATTATTTATGCATGGTAGAAGATGGAATAACTTATACATGTATTAGTAATACCTGTATTAAAACTCAAAATGACAAGAATATCATCTATTCAAACTTGTTATATATTTTTTTGTTCAAGAAAATATATCTAAAATATACTAACAATTTTAATCGAATAAACTAGACTAACAATAAATAATATTCACATTATGTTTCTATATTACTAATCCTATAATTAATCTCCGAATAACTAATTCCTGCATAATTAATTCCCGCAAAATTAATCTTTGCATAATTAATCCATGCATAACTTATTCCTATATTAATAATACTTACATAACTCTAACCAGCAACCAAACGAGCCCTTAAGGTAACTCCGTAGCTAAGCAGCTAATAAGAAACCATGCATTAGCTGCTTAGTTATGGGCAAATCAAACTGAAGCTAGATGCGGGGGATCTAGCCTTATGGTGTCGGGTTCATCTGAACCCAGTACTTTTGATGCAAAGCATAATATATATATATAAATTCATTAATGCCAAAAAACTCAAATATTGAGAACCCGTAAAGTTTAAATCCCGGATCTGCCTCTAAGTCTAGATGTTAATACAAGTAGTATTATGTACCGGTGTGTTCCTGAATTACTGCTGCATGCAGAGGCATTCGATTAGATGGACCAGCAGCATAAGTTGGGGCCGATTCCAAGATTTCCAAAATATCAATAGAACCACACTCTGCCGCCAGATACAATCAGAGGTGGAAATAAGATTTTAAGCTTATGAGTTCGAAATTCTAAGTATTTTAAATTATTGAGTTTTAAATTATTAAATTTTAAATAATCAATAAATTATTCAACGCAAATACAAGGTTTGAACCAAAACTAATGGATTCGCCCAGAACACTGGCTCCGCCCCCGGATACAGTGGTGTCTCCCCAGCCTGGTTTGCTGGATATTCAAATTCAGGATCTTCTTTAACCAACATTTTGACAATGCCAACACATTTACTCCTCACGGCATTGTGCAGTGTTGTATCTCCATTATCATCTGTCATCTTCATTAGTGTCTCCTTATTTCCCCCACTACTCCAACTACATCAAGTATCACACTCACAACTTTACTGTTCCTTCTCTTAGCTGCTATGTGAAGTGCAGTTTCATTTTTCTTGTTCGTACAGCATAAGATTGCTGGAGTAAGATTAAGGACTTCTCCAAAGAAATCGGATTTGTCATATAGGGCTGCCACGTGGAGGATCGTGTTGCCCATTGGAGTGACTTGGTACCCATTTTCATCATTCCTTTTCAAATGATGAGCAAGTAGAAAATCACCATCTCTGGTATTGCCTCTCTTTGCAGCATTATACAAGGTGGGATCCATTATTCTTTTTTATTTAATTAGGGGATATGATTATCAAAAATCCCTGGAATAATGATCTTGTGGTATAGGAAATTACTGAAACTCTTGACGAAGTCTTTGCTAAGTCTTTTGTTTTTTTAACATATACAAATATTAATACAAGTCTCATGCTCATCCATTTCACATGGTGTGGCCAGCTACCTCACATTAACTTTTTATATAAAATCAAAATGAAAGACAACTTGTTGTATAGGGTGAAATTGATTTATATTAAATATTCGTGACACGTGGAACCGGAGGCAGATGGAAGATAGAAGCGAGTAGAAACTAACATTGTTTTTTGAAAATGACAGCTTTCATCGCTCAAACTAGAAATTAATTAGAAACCAATGGTAGAGAGTGCTCACGTGCATATAAGCACGTAACTTCTAAAGTAATTAAGCTACTTCTTTTTAAGTAAGGCGTCTTATTACTTTAACATATAAATGAAAATAAAAACCAAGATAACATATAATACTATACAATATTAAACAATTCGTAATTATTTTGAATTAATTTGACAGTTCTTTTTTTTAACTACAAAACTTGCACATCATCTTTAAGAATGCATCTGTACATAAGGTATGCGAGAAGGCAAGATAAAGCAAAATAGAGATGCTGAACTGAACAATCTGTTAAACAAATACTGATGCATGCAGACTGCAGTACTATTACTCGGCCATACTGCTTGAATTAATTTCACTGAAAAAAGGAAAAAGATGCATTTATGTTTCTCTCTCTATTTCTCAAGTAATATCTCTTCCAACAAGATACATTACAAACATGTACAAAAGAAAAGAGAGGCAACCGATGGTACATACAGTAATGGCGAGACCAAGTGAATGTGCTAAAGTAGCATACATACCAGTTACAAATGCAATTACCACTGCTAACATTGCCAGAAGCTGCAACTGACCTGCGACTCTACTGAGAGCCGATAGAATTCTGTAATCCTGATAGGACGTTGGTCGATGATTTGTTGCCATGACGAAGTAGCTGAATATAGCACCAGCCGAGCATGCAAAGGCGATGACATCTGTAATAACAAATACACGGAATGCTGCTTTTCTTGTTAGAATCGCCATCCCTTTATTAGGGCTATTGGAATCACTGTCAAAACCTCCTGGCAATGTGAAACCAGCGGCAAAGGTGACTGTAACTAATAGAGTGGCCACAACTAGATGTATTTGAGCTGCCGACATGATGCCTTTGATTTCTGTTTCACGTTCCTTAGCACGCTTCAAAAACTCCCTCTGTATATCAATTTCATCCAGTGTATTCACCGGAGTCTCACGTCGTCCCAATCGACCAATGTTAGCAAAATCGCAATACAAGCTGTCACTGATACTTTCCTTGTTTGTCGTCCTCTTTAAGCAAGACAATGCTACGTCAAGCGGAGTCTGGTTTTCTTTGTTAAATGACATCTTCTTTGCTATGGGATTTTCTCTTAATTTCACAGGCACATGGGCCCAATAACTAGAGGCGGCAAGCAAATGGAGAGGAGTGTTGCCATCATCATCTGCATCGTCAGCAAGGCTATCCCACTTCGTGGACTTTAATAAGGAATTAACTAACATATATTGATTGTTCAATATGGCAACATGAAGAGCATTTTTGTCTCTGCTGTCAAGCATTTCCCAGCAATCAGGGCAGTACTTTAATAACTCATTTATCATGTTTTCATCACCTGCACTGGCTGCAATGTGAAACGTTGTCGTCCAGCGATTTTCACTGCCTGCTGGAAGGTAGGCTAAGGATTTCCTCCACCCCAGCATATCAGAAACTACTTCTTTCAATCCTAGATTAACAGCATAGTGCAGCGAATTCCAACCACTCACGTCAGCTTCCTCACATGAAGATTTATTCCATTGCCACAGTAATCTCGCGCAATCTGGATGTGTCAAATATGATGATGATGATAAGGAGTTAATTCATCACAAATTATGAGATCATTCAAAAGCGCTTAGCTTCAAATTATTTATTCTTTTGCTTCCTCTTTCATACTTCTCGCACAATCCTAGAGCTTGGATTTGGTGGTTATTGATTGAATACTTACTGATTTCTAAGTCTTCCACTAGGTCAAGGGTTCAAGAGTGGTATGAAGAGCCATCAAAGTTAAAATTTGACTTTTGAGTTAATCATTTAAAGGGAAACTAATTAATTACGAGAAAATTATTATTGTTACCAAGCCGATTTGTGATTTCCTCCACAACCAATCAAACACTTATGGATTTTGATATGGCTACCTAGGACTACATCAAAAGTTATTGGTTAACTAGAAATAAGTCTTTAGAGTTGTCTCACAAAATGAGTGATGTGAATATTAATTTTATATTACTGAGAATATCTGAAATGATTATATACTCCAAGTTAATGTAGACAATGGTATGGAAAAATCAAACTAAAGCTAGATGTTAATGACGGAGAGTAACAAAAAATACGTTCATACCCGTGTGTTGATGAATTACTGCTGCATGCAGAGGTGTTCGATTAAATGGACCTGCAGCAAAAGTTGGTTTGTTGCAGGATACCAAGATTTCAACCAAAGCATCACGAAGACCAGACTCCGCCGCCAGGTATAGTGGTGTCTCCTGGGCCTTGTTGGACGGAAATTCGAATTCAGGATCTTCTTTAACCAAAAGTCTGGCAACATCTTGATGTCGGCTCCGCACGGCCTTGTGCAGTGCTGTATCCCCATTGTCATCTGTCATCCTCATGAGTCTCTCCTTATTCTCCTCTCCAGTTATACTAAGTAGCACATGAACTACTTCACTGTGCCCTTCATTAGCTGCTATGTGAAGTGCAGTCTCATTTTTCTTGTTCTGACGACATAACAATGACGGAGTAATCTTAAGGACTTCTCCCACAAAATGGGAGTGGCCATAGAGGGCTGCCACGTGGAGGACTGTGTTGCCCTTTGGAGTGACTTGGTGCCCATTTTCTTCATCCCTTTTCAGATGATCAGCAAGTAAAAAATTGCTATCTCTGGTATTGCCTTCTACCGCAGCATTATACAAGGTTGGATCCATTTTTTTTTTCTTTAATTATTAGCGAATTTATCCAAAATCTCCTGAATTATGTTGTCTGTCCTTTGCTTTCTCTGGATGAGACATTATATAGAAATATTCTGAACACCACTGATCTTTGTCTTTGACCAAAAGAAAGGGATTTGTTGTTTGCCTTGTTCAGAAGAAAGGAATTTCTTGTTTATCTTTGCTGTTTCTTCTATTGCCTTTTAATTATTTGTCAAACTTTAAAGAATATCAACATGAATAAAAACGGTTTTTTACTACTAAATCTAACAAAACCAAAATATTACTTATATCTTAAGATTTACTTCGTGTCATGATTCTCTTTTTTCAACACAAACAAGACTGAGTAATTAAATAAGAAAATGATAGAACAAGAAAAATATTTTTATGAGTCCAGATAAATCTGAAAATCAAGTTTTACTAACATCCCATATCCTTATTAATTTCTATTTTTCCAAAATATCTTTTCAAAAAGAGAAAAAAAAATTAGTTAGAACAAATAAAAAAATGTAAGGATAATTTCAAAGACCTCCCTCCAAATGTATCTTTGTTACACTAACTTCTATGATCTTAGATACTACATTCATCCTCCCTTATTATTATTGCTTTTCAGTAAAAATGCTGGTTCAATTGATAAAATTAATATTCTATTCCAGAACTACCCTTTTGTGCGTTTAATTGTTGAATATTAAGTATTCAGCACAAACCTCCCTCAAATTCTTTTTATGCATGCTACACAATTGGTCTGATTTGTTTTAAAATCATAAAATCACACACATCTTAATTTAATTAATATATATTGACTAATTACTGATTTGTTAAATTAAAATATATTACTAGAAGTAAGAGAGTTTAAAGCTAAATGCTTAAATTATTTCTCTTCCTGTCCAGTTAATCGAAAAGGTACTACTGGCTTTGCCTTTTCTTTGAGAGACATGATATTCACTTTGGTGTTTAAGAAGCAACTTATGGTGATGGTCTCTTGCTTTTTCTATTTACAAGTTCAAAAACAGAATAGGCAAAGCACATTGGTAAGATTCCATTGTATTTGAGACTGCATCAAAAAGAAATAAGTGAAGCTCACATGTATCAGGACCAGTGATTGACCATAGAGGGCTGCAACGTAAAGGGCCATGTTTCCCTTTGGAGTGACTTGGTATCCATTTTCTAATCCATCCCTTTTCAGATGATCTACACCTAGAAAACCGCCATCTCCGACAATGCTTTCCAATGCAGCATCGTACAAGGTTGGATCCTTTTTCTTTATTTGGGGATTTGTTCAAAATCTCTCAAATTATCATCTTGTTAGTACTTTGCTTTCTCTGGATGAAATATTATATAAGAAATTAATTAGATTCTTGATGAATCCTGAAGAAAGGGATTTGTTGTTTGGGTTTTGCTCTTAATTTCCTTTCATGAAACCTTATATTAGTTAAAATTGAAAGAATATCAATGTGGATGACAAGTGTTTATGAAACAAGAGCTTACAAAACCCAAATTAGCTACAGCTAAAGCTTACCAAAATATTTAGCGGCGCTGGCGAGCCTTTTGCTTTCTCGAGTAACTTGTGGAGGCCTTCATTGCTCTTCGAGACCCCCCATTTCACCATTTGGCGGACATTGCTCCTATTCCCCATATCCAACATATGCTTCCTCACAAATCTACAAAATCAAAATATGAAACATCAGCAGCAAATTCCAACAACTTTATTTAGGAATTCAAGAATAGACAAGGAATTAAGAGGGGGAATAGAAGGATACCCAACAAAATGCTCCGGAAAGGGCTCCCACCATTATTACACTTTAACATCTTTTCATCTTCTCTATTATTTTCAGGATCTTCTTTTCTTGTTTCTTCAAAAGAATTATTTTTTTTCTATGGCTGTCTAGGGTTTGTCAGTCAGCCATGGAATTCTCGCCGGAAATTCCTTACTGAAATCTTGCCAGAGGGACTTTACATGAGTAGTGTAAAGTGCACCGGCAGGGGGACATCCTGGATCCGTCACTGCATCAACATGAGCGAAAATTAACGCAATGTACATAAGGAAAGATATGCATTCATGTCTCCCTACTCATGTTCTTATATGTTCCTTTGCGGTTTCCTAATGAGATGCACAACCCTGTAGCACAAAAGGGAAGAGATGCAACTGATGGCACAGACAGTAATGGCGAGACCAACTGAATGTGCTAAAGTAGCACAAAAACCAGTTACAAATGCAATTACAACTGCACCATTGCCAGAAGCTGCAAACAAGCAGCGACACTATTAAGGTATAATAGAACTACCAAATCCTGTTGGGACGTTGGTCGAAATTTTGTTGCCATGATGAAGTAGCTGAATACAGAACTAGCAGAGCATGCAAAGGTGATAACATCCGTAACAACAAATGATATTTTCCTTATTAGGATTGCCATCCCTTTATTAGGGCCAGGATCGCTATCAAAACCTCCTGGCAATGTAAAACCAGCTGCAAAGGTGATTGACCTAGAAAACCGCCATCTCCGACAATGCTTTCCAATGCAGCATCGTACAAGGTTGGATCCTTTTTCTTTATTTGGGGATTTGTTCTAAATCTCTCAGATTATCATCTTGTTAGTACTTTGCTTTCTCTGGATGAAACATTATATAGGAAATTAATTAGATTCTTGATGAATCCTGAAGAAAGGGATTTGTTGTTTGGGTTTTGCTCTTAATTTCCTTTCATGAAACCTTATATTAGTTAAAATTGAAAGAATATCAATGTGGATGACAAGTGTTTATGAAACAAGAGCTTACAAAACCCAAATTAGCTACAGTTAAAGTTTACCAAAATATATAGCGGCGCTCATTGGCGAGCCTTTTGCTTTCTCGAGTAACTTGTGGAGGCTTTCATTGCTCTTCCAGACCCCCCATTTCACCATTTGACGGACATTGCTCCTATTCCCCATATCCAACATATGCTTCCTCACAAATCTACCAAATCAAAATATGAAACATTAGCAGCAAATTCCAACAACTTTATTTAGGAATTCAAGAATAGACAAGGAATTAAGAGGGGGAATAGAAGGATAGCCAACAAAATGCTCCGGAAAGGGCTCCCACCATTATTACACTTTAACATCTTTTTATCTTCTCTATTGTTTTCAGGATCTTCTTTTCTTGTTTCTTCAAAAGAATTATTTTTTTTCTATGGCTGTCTAGGGTTTGTCAGTCAGCCATGGAATCCTCGCCGGAAATTCCTTACTGAAATCTTGCCAGAGGGACTTTACATGAGCAGTGTAAAGTGAACCGGCAGGGGGACATCCTGGATTCGTCACTGCATCAACATGAGCGGAAATTAACGCAATGTACATAAGGAAAGAGATGTATTCATGTCTCCCTACTCATGTTCTTATATGTTCCTTTGCGGTTTCCTAATGAGATGCACAACCCTGTAGCACAAAAGGGAAGAGATGCAACTGATGGCACAGACAGTAATGGCGAGACCAACTGAATGTGCTAAAGTAGCAC